GGGGGGGGGCACGCGGGCCGTGAAGATCGCAGCGCACGTGTGCCAGAGTCTCCCTGCGGACACAGGAAGGCAGGATTTGTGGGAGTTAATTTGTCTGTGAGATAAGCAAGAGGCTTAGGAAAATGTTGTTTTTGAGTGTTCCATGAACTCAAAGAATATCTCATTTCGTTTTTCCTGTCAGAGTTCTGTGTGTCATTGGTTATATTCTATAAATGGAAATTTCTCCCAAACTCTTCTCCATGCGAGTTTGAGGGCTGAGGAATTAGATGGCTCTGCTATTCACAGGGATTGGCCAGGTGTAGAACATGACAGCCTCAGAAAGGATACTGGCATTTATAAGTTACATTCTTTCTTTTTAGTGCTGTATAGTTCCATCTCCATTTGAGGATACAGTGGCCTCCTTCGCATTAAGAGCTTAAAACCGGGAGATAATGCATACTGGCTGCATTGTCTTCAAGGCAACCAAGCTAGTTATTGCGGACGTGTTACTTTTGTATAATGCGTTTCATGTTCTTTAACACAAATTTCAACAGGGAGGAAAAGTTATTGTGAGCTAATTAACATTTAATACAATGCTTTGATGGTGAGACGGTTATAGGGAGTATATAAGCTGTGAAGACTTTTCAAATGATTTAATTATTTAAATTTCAGCAAGCAATGTGTAAGTTTTATCTTACATGTGCCCCTCTTTTAAAGTAACAAGGAAGCGACTGAAAAAGCAAACGGTTATTCCTTTTCTTTCTGTCGGTGCGCAGGTGCCCTCACCACCAACGGCATAAATCCTGACACCAGTACTGAAATTGGACGTGCTAAGAACTGCCTTAGCCCTGAAGACATAATCGAGAAATACAAGGAGGCCATCTCCTACTACAGCAAGGTGATGGTGCTACTCTGAATCCTCTGCAGAGCTGTGTCCTTTTAGTTAAAAAAAATATGTTTTAATTGATTTTTAGAGAGAGAGGAAGGGAGAGGGATAGAGAGATGGAAACGTCACTGAGAGAAACATCATGGATCAGCTGCCTCCTGCACGCCCCCTGCTGGGGATCAAGCCCGAAACCGGACTACCTGGTTCCTGGGTTGACACTCAACCGCTGAGCAACACTGGCCAAGCCAGAGCTGTGTCCATTTAATCAGAGGTTCCTGTTTCACAGTGGGTAGTGCTGCAGTACCTTTTAATTCTTTCTGTAACTATTTGAGTATTGCCCCCTAATGCATTTACATTTATCAGAGGTTACTTTCCACTTACTCTCCAAATTATCAAAATGCTCATAGCTGAGTCCTGTTGCTGGGGAGGCAGATGGAGAGAGGTGGGGTGGCGTGTGTAGGTTCTTTGAGCAGCATAGTGGCTGCCTGTGGACTGATGCCCCAAAAGAGCCCCGGGTATACCAGGATGGCTCTGAACATGCACAGAAACCACGTTCTCCTGTCTTTATGGCAAAGCTCTGTGGGTATGGCAGGCAGATGCCACTTTGCCCCTCGAGTCTGAATGAAGATTAGTGGCTGCCTAGAGTACTGTGCCAATGAGAATTCAAGAGGTCATCTCCATGGGAAAGGCTTGTCTGCTTTGGGCACAGCAGGGGAGCCAGGTGGTCTGTTTTTCCCAGTCCTTGGAGAGGAAAAAGCAGACTCTGGAGTCTGACAGAACTGAGTTTGAATCGCATGTCTGACTTTAGTCAACTTATATGACCTCATTGAGCTCCAGTTTTCTTATCTCTCAAAGTGGGGAATTTAAGAGTTTTTATAATTAGGGTAAATTATACATATATTGCCAACTATGACAGCCTTATTAGTATTGCTCATAAAAACCTGATTCTTGTCTCTTCTTCCGTATTTCAATTTTCTACAAGACATCTTGGTCCTAACGTGTATGTGATACAAGTAGGAAAAGAAAGTTATTGTCTTGCCTTTTTCTAGCTGTATTTTTATTCTGTTGCTTCCTTTACCTCTTTTCTCCACTTCTTTCCTATTCACCTCCTCCACCAAGTGAGCCCGACAGTTCCCCATGCTGCTCAGAACACCGGTTAGAATTGCTTTGAAGGTTGGCCCCTCACTGTGAATTGACAGTCATATAAAAGATATTTGTGCACTTCTGAGATTCGATTACATCTGATTTGTTCACACACACACACACACACACACACACACACACCAGGCTACCTCCCACTTTCCGAGGGAGAAGCACCACCTCTTGATTTTCAGTCACTGAGCGTGATAGCGAAGTCTCTTAAGTGGACTCTTGCCTGGCTTCATGAGTGATTTTTATTGAGGAGTAAAATGAAGTTCACAATGCATTTTCTGTTTCATATGTCTTCATCTGTCCTTTACCCCAGCTTTTAAGAAGCAGGATCAAGTAACCCGGAGAGAGCAAATCAGAAAGACCAGAAACATTTAAGTAGAGGGTGAAACAAAGATACCGGAAGCTAGAATTTTTGCAACAAAGTAACATGAATTAACCTGGGCTGCCTTAAAGCGGCAGGTGTGAGAGATTCTAAAAGTGTTTTAGAGATGAGAAGTGGAAATGAGTAGCAAAGTAGCCATTGATAACATTTTGAAATTTTGTAACACATCCAGCTATTATGGTTGTTATCAGTTGAAGGAATGCAAACACATTTACCTGAGCCTTTGTAGGTTCCCTCCATCCCACCAGCTTCTTTTGTCCCCATAAGGGATAGACTTTCTGAAACAGATTCTGCCCCCTTGAGTGGGATATGCTGCAGGGCCCTCAAGTGTCTGTGGTGGGACAGAACCATTTTCTCTTCTCTGACAGATGACCCTCCTCTCTCCCTGCAGTACAAGAATGCTGGAGTGATTGAGCTGGAAGCGTGCGTCAAAGCTGTGCGTGTCCTGGCCATTCAAAAGCGGAGCATGGAAGCTTCCGAATTTCTCCAGAACGCCGTTTACATTAATCTCCGACAGGTGGGTGTGTGCCCCTCTCAGTGGTGGAGTGAGTGCAGTTTTCCTGAACTTTGTTCACCACTGATCCGTCCACACTGTGCTAGGACTCAGTGTGCCGTGGGAAAAACGGGGTCAGAACTCACTATCCTAATGAGTGTGATTATTGTGCTGCTTCTTTATATTACAGTATTTTACTTTCAAAACTCAGGACTCGCTGTCCTTCCCAATTTTAAATTTTTGCTTGGAGAAACAACTCGGCCTTTCTCTGCTTTGCTACCTTGAACGATCTTTATGTCCCTCACCTTACATTTGTCACTTGTGACGCAATTGCTGTTTGTAACTCTGTCTGGGTTGTTACATTTATAGACATGAAGTTTAAAAAATTTTTTAAAACTATGTTTTTATTGATTTCAGAGAGAGGAAGGGAGAGGGAGAGAGGGATGGAAACATCAATGATGAGAGAGAATCATTGGTCAGCTGCCTCCTGCTTGCCCCCTACTGGAGGTTGAGCCTGAAACCTGGGCATATGCCCTGACCAGGAGTCAAATCATGACCTGGAGGTTCATGGGTTGATGCTCAACCACTGAGCCACACCAGCTGGTCTGGACATGAAGTTTTGGAAGGCCTCTAGAGCTCCTTTCCATAGCAGCTTCCACAAATGCTACCTCCATTGAATCTGGGTATGTTTTTAATCAGACAAAATCATTAGAATGTTTTGTTGCAGGTTGCTAATGCAAACTCCAGAAATTGCTAGTCTAGGAGGATTTTAGACATTTAGCTAACTTGGATTTTGGTGGATAAGGCAACCTAGACTGAAATATTTCATGGTTTGCTTAAGGACACAAGACTAGGATTAGAATACAGGTTACTGTAATCCCATGGGTCTTTACTGAGCACCTTATTGTGCTAGGAGTGGGGGACAGAGCTGAAGAGGCACATTCCACCCTCACCAGGCTGCCAGTTTTGTGGCAGATACATTCAACAGGGGGGGAATGCAATAAAGGTGGAGGTACAGGGTGCTAAGGGAGCCAGTGAAGGGTTGAACTCAGTTTGTGGTGGAGGATGTGGGGTCAGGGGTTGTCTCTGAGGCATGAGGTTCCAGCTGGAACGTGAAGGATGACTGGAAGTCAGGGAGGAGAGGTGGGAATAGACCATTCTATGCAGGCGGCTCAGCCGCGTGCACGTCTGCTCTGCTTGCTGCCTTCATGTTGAACGCTAGGGGGCAGCAGAGGCACGCCAGAGGGGCAATACCAGGCTTTCCTGAGGCAGGCGCCTGCGAGCTTGTGTGTGGGGTGAGTGGCGTCCTCAACACCACACTTGGCTTTAGTTGGCTCATCTGGATGTTTGCTTTCCAGATGAGCAGACAGCAAAATAATGAGTTCTGGCGGGATTTTATAATAATAAAAAAGAGGGGCCTGCAGTTTTCTGAAATAGAAGCTTTTTGTTCTTGTCCGAGTGTGTTCCTTTGCAGAATTGATGGGTTGTATCTATTTCTGGGAGTGGTTTTCGCTAACATGGAAATGGTGAGAGGATCTGAGACTCGATTATTACAGGTAGCCTCTGCTTTAAGAAGCCCTGTGCAAACATGAAAACTGATAAATAAGTGTTTGGATTTCGTGGGATTGGGAAGGGTTTCTGCACATTAAAGAATCTTGTGGGCAGGAACGTGGGCCGACCTGTCTTTCAGTTCCTGCTTACGGGAGTAGTTTATGATAATTATCTGGCATTAACTATGGCAGCGCCCATTCATTTTAACTGGCTGCCTGGAAATTTGTGTATTGACGTGAGGGTTTCACAGGCACAGCGTGAAGTAGAAGTGAGAGAGGAGCACGAATGTTGGCACCGTTTCCTCACCTGGTGACCTGGGACCAGTACGTAACCTCCATTAGCTTGTTGTAAATTGGGAATGACAACATTCACTTCTTCCTGGAGTTGTTATAAGTTCTAAGTAACATAATAATGTGTATAAAGGGCTCAGTACACTACTGGGCACGTAGGAAGTGTGCTGTACATGTGTCTGCCCACCGGTAGTTCTGTGCCAAGTCACAGTAAGTGGAGTTACAAGGGCAGGCTGGGGTGGATTCATGGGCACCTGGCACTCCAGGGAAGGCATTTGGGCTCCATGTTTCTCAGTGTTTCTGGGATGGGTGATGGGCTCTGAACTGTGACTCAGGAATATTATCTGGCAGCTGCACGTGTCTGGATGGAGGGAGGTAGAGAAAGCTGGCAGGAAGACCACTTAGGTCAGTGAGAGCTAAAGAGGGCCCAAGCAAGGGCTTGGCCGTGGGCATGGAGAGGCGGAAGACTGGAGGGATGGAGAACAGCAGCTGGCAGGGCTTCCAGACTATGACTCTGTGCCCACAAAACTATCTGGAAAACAGATTGGTGGTCAGGGCAGCCGACGGGGAGACACGCTTCCCTGAGCAGTGAGCAGTGAGCGGGTGCGTGGGCTTTGGCTTCCTTTCTCTCTAAAGGTAACTGTGGTTGGGTGACCCCAACTCAGAATGTGTTTCTGACACTTCCTGGCCGTGATTTTGCACAGGCGATTAATTTCTCTCTGAGCTTCAAATTTCCTCTAATAGCTCATGGGATTGTTGCAATGATTAAACAAGGTTTGTTAGGTTTGCTGGCATATAGTACGTGCTTAAGGAACAGAAGTTGTCGCTACATCATAGGGTCGTTAGGAGAGTTTGGTTAGGTCTGGGGGCTAGAAACCTCTGATATGCCATGAAGTCTTGCATCTAAGTTAGGCTGTTATTTCTGACAGTTCATTGTCGAGTCCCGTGGTTCTATAGGCTGTTTTGAGAAGTTCTGTATCTGATGAGAGTCGCTGCCCCAGTCTTGGCGTCTCGATGACTCAGGTTCCTTTCCCTTAGGGAAGAGCCTGTGTTCGGGTAGCAGACGTCTTTGTTCTGGGGATGGACCTTCTTAGCAAAGGGACAGGGTGAACCCGAGTTCAGTGCCTCACAGAGGTTGGGGCCTCCCCACAAAGCTGCCTGCTGGTGCTGCCCTGTCGCCCTGCAGGCTCCGCTTCCTGTGGCTTCATGTTTCACCATGTTGTTGTTTTATGAAAAAGTTTTGGTTTTTGTAAATCATTTTTATGTGTCTTTGAAAACCCTCTAACGTCCTCCCCATGCCCCAGCTCTCTGAGGAGGAGAAAATCCAGCGCTACAGCGTCCTCTCCGAGCTCTACGAGCTCATCGGCTTCCGGCGCAAGTCCGCCTTCTTCAAGCGCGTGGCCGCCATGCAGTGCGTGGCGCCCAGCATTGCGGAGCCCGGCTGGAGGGCCTGCTACAAGCTCCTCCTGGAGACACTGCCGGGCTACAGTCTGTCGCTGGACCCGCAGGACTTCAACAAAGGTACTGGCCTGGAACTGGAGTGTCGTTCTGATTCACTTAACCTTGCCTGTGCGAGCACCTGCTCTACCTGTCAGACCCTGCGGTGGGTGTTGGGGGTCACAGCTGGCCAGAGCCCTATCCTGCCCTTGGGTGTGGCACAGACTGAAATGGTAACAAAAAGCCGCGGGGCTTTGCCTGGGGCTGGTACTTTGACACCTTTATCCATGTGGGTCAGGGGTGTCCCTTGATGTGGTGTGTCCCCCACAAAACCTTCGGTACCTAATGAATTTTACTTACTGTATGAAACTTAGCCAAATTAGTAAACATCAGTCACTCCGGGTGAATGCACGTGAGTGTGTGCGCATACAGGTGTGTGTTCTGGGTTAGCCCTTATTCTGCAATATTAACACAGGGTTGTACACGTCGGGACTAAAGCTATAAATCTAATAGCAGGTGCACACAAGTTCAGTGCCCAGAGTTGGGCAAAGTGTGATTAGCAGGAGGAAGAATTTCTTTTTGGTCACAGCTTTAGGGAGGAGATGCCAGCACTTTTCTCCAGCTCGTATCCAGAGTCATTAGGTAGGAAAGGACTGAGGTGACAGCTAGATTCTTGTCCCACGGGGCAGAGTATGGTCAGATATGTCCACTGAAAGACCTACACCAACCTGAAGAGCATGTGGTCTTGATGAGAAGCCCAGTTCTGCCTTTTCATGATTCTGATGTTAGGGCTGTCCCCAAACTGACTGAGTCATCTTCCTCTCATTTTGGAACGCCTCACGGCACATCTGCTGGACTTTTTTTACATTATTCAAAAAGTAGTTTGCTTTCCTCTTGCCTGGTGCCATGCGCATAGTATGTTAAGTAAGAGAAGCCATGGGAGGGACAGTTCCTGCCCTCTAAATAAAGATAAGCAGGCAGCTTCTCGCCTGTGAGGCTTGGGATGTTGGCAGAGCGCTCACATCCTTCCAGAGCCGTCCTCTTGTCTGGCTTCAGTTCCTCATATGTTACTCTCTCCCGACTTCCCACCATCCTGAACATCTTCCCAGAGCAACGCTTTAGTTTGATAGAATCCGTCTCTGTGAAATCACAGTCTCAGGGCGGATTCTGATGAGCTCAGCGCACCAGTGGCAGACTTTGCGGCAAAGCGCCATAGGGTCATTATTTTGGGCTTTGTGGGCCACGTGGTCTTTGGTCTCTGTGGCAGCTCCCCGGCTTTGCTGCAGGGGTGTGGATGCAGCCACAGACAGTGTGTAAGCCAACAGAACTTTATTTACAGAAATAGATGGCAGGCCAGATTTGCTGTGCGGCCTCTAGTTTTCCGTATCCCTAGCTGAGAGCACAGTGATATCTAAAATCTTTATTTTTTTTGGTGTGGGCAAAATTACTTAAAAACATTTTTCCAAAATGTTTTCTAAAATCCTTTAAAAGGAGGGTCCTGGGGCTTAGAAGAGCACAGGGAGACCGAGTGAGTGGCACTGCGGGCAGAGGGGCTAGTCAGGTGGCCTGTAGGGGGTGAGGGGACGCAGGGACAGGACACAGGTCGTGGGGGCACGCAGGGACAGGACACAGGTCGTGGGACTGGCCAGGGCATTGTGGACAGGGAGAGCTGCGGCTCACTGTGTGAGCACTGTGCTTGGGAGGGCCCACTGTGATGAAGCTGTCCTGACTTCTTTGTTCAGGGCCCAGGTTATCCTGCCTCTCCTCAGTCCTGAGGTCCCATTGGTAGGCCCAGGGCTAACACTGTCCTGTTTTTGTTTTTGTTTTTAAATATATCTTTATTGATTTCAGAGAGAGGAAAGGAGAAGGAGAGAGAGAGACAGAAACGTCAATGATGAGAGAGTCATTGATCGAGCCCGCAACCCGGGCATGTGCCCTGACCGGAAATCGAACCCCAATCGCCTGGATCCTAGGTCGACGCTCAACCGCTGAGCCACGCCTGACCGGGATAACACTGTCCTGTTTATGTAGCCTGTGTGAGTTCCCTTCTAAATTGGGCTCACACAAGAGCACACCTTTATGTGGCTTTGCTGGTCTCCTCCATTTTGTGCCCATGCCATTGATTTTTAAAAAACTAAACGTGAGACTTGACATTTGTCTTGGCTGGACATCGTCTATGATTGTTGCTCATAATGTTGGGCGAGTGATTTGGACCCTGAATTCCATCCCTGGCTTTCTCTCAGCCCCTGGGGAGGGTATTAAGTACAAGAGGTCCAGGGCAGAATCAGGACCCTCTCTGGAAGGCCTTGCTACCCAGCAAGCATGTCTGGGTTCTCGCTTTGTGCTGAACATCACGCCATGTGTTGAGGATACACTGTGACCACGTGAACAGGGGTGGTCTCTCCCAGATCCTCTTTCTTATCCAAAAAGAAATTATGACAGATGTTTCCCACCTGCCATGTCACCTGCTCTCCTGTTCTCTAATCTCTTTTCCTCTGTGGCCTCCCAAGAGAGGCCTGCTGAGCACTTGCTTCCTGACTGGCTCTGCAGATGGACTGTGAGTGCTGTATGCATTAGTACTGGCGACCTGGGAGTTCAGCACCCGTGTCCCGTCTCGTAGGCGAGGAGCCTCAGGGCAGTGCAAGGGTGCTTCTCCACAGCCTGTCCTCTTTCCCACGGCACCTCTTGTGGGTCTTTAACCAGCATCTCAATCAAGGCTTTTATTCTCTGGACAGCCCTGTCCCAACTGTGGTCACAGGAATGACCTTAGTTTCCCAAAGCACCGAGTTCACTGGTGTTTAGCTGAGTGTTATCTGGGAGCCAGAGGACAACAAAGACTCACAACCTGAAATGGACACCTTTCAGTGGGACCCATCACTGCTGATGGCATCCCTTGGCTGGGTCTCTGCCTGGGCTGACCCACAGGCAGAGGACAGCTAGGAAGGAGAGGGTGAGTGAGGTGGGTGTGATGCGTGGTTAAGGAGCGGCTGGATTTGGGAGCCCAGGTCAGACTGAGTCAGGGTGAGGGCAGAAATGACTGGAAGAGCCCTAGAAGCCTGTGGATTGACATTTGAAAGACACGGAGTTACTGGGTGAAGAGAGGATGAGAGTGCAGCATCCTGGGGAAATTTTATGGGGAGAGGTTGGTGTTTGGGAAACAAAAGAAGGTGTTTAGAGCAATCACTTGTTGCTTTGTAGAGAGATGAGGAAGGGTATTTAAAAGTTTTTGTGTGCTCTGTAAAAAGAGTCCCCTTTCCCCAGCAACTTCAGGACAGGCTCCAGGTCCAAAGTGAGCCACCTGGGCTGGACCACAGTTGCACAGAAGTTCTTTATCTCTGTAATATTTTATCTCTATACTGGGGCCAATTACCTAAAACGTCTAAGAGCCCGTTTGTTGGGGGCCTCCTAATGGCCCCTCTGTCTTCTGGAGCTCTCCTCCCTGTTGTTCACCGCTTAAGCCTCATTGGCAGCTTGTTCAGGGCGGGCCCTCGGGAACCGCAGCCTCACTGGAACCTCTTATTTTTCCTCCACTGGCTCCTGCTCTTCCCAATACACCTCCCATAATTTGTAAGTATGTTAAAAATAAATTGGGGGGTGATTTCTCGGCTGCTTCTCCCCCAGCCTGTGAGCCCTGTCAGCAGAGAACCCCGGCTCTCACAGTGTCCCCTGGAATGCGGCAGGTGCCCAGCACATATGTGTAATGTGGGAGCAAACCTCATTTGCTCCCACCTCATTTTCGTGGTTGCCCTGGACCACTTTAGACATGTCTCTGAGAGTGAAATAGAAATCTACTAAAACCATGTACCTGTGACTAGAAGGTAAATTGTATTCTCAGGACCTGAAATGTATTTCTACCTATTTTTTGGAATGAACGTTTTCGCTTGCTGGTTATAGAAAGCCGGCATAGCAACACAGATGTGCATTGCATGTATCTGCCTGCTTACAGGCAGCTAATTATCATTTTAGTCTTATTTGTGTTGCTGTGTGTGAAGATTTTTGATCATTCCTTTTGCTTGGCCTCCTCCCAGGTAATGGATTAAATTTCCCCAGGAACTCTTATGAAGGAGTAGGTAAGGCAGGGGGGTTTGCGGAAGGCAATAGTTGATGTAATAGATTCATAGTGGTGAACTTCTTAACTACAAGAGTGTTGAAAATTTTATCTCTGGGCCTTCTGCTGCAAATCTGTCTTAAAAAGAAAAAGATTTAGATTTTTATAGGCGGAGTAATTTGAGTCACATTGAAATGACAACTTATACACTATTTAGTGTTAAGAAAATTTAGACTCAGTCTTACTCATAACTGTCTGTGGTAGAAGCAAATCATTATCTATTTAAAAGAAAAATCAGCAAAGTGATATTTGCCCAGTTCTAAAGTGAGGAAGCCTTCCGGATGCAGTGGTGCTGCGGTAAGTTGAAGTGGACGATTTAGAGGTCGTGGCGAGCTTGGTCACGGCACTGATTCCAGCATCCTACTCCTTTTCCAAGTGGCTTGTTTTGCACTGGCTTTTGGTCTTAGCTTCTTTTGACAATATAGAAACAATACAGGGGCTGGTCTTTCCTTTGGCCACGTTTACTTTGTTTATGCCGTTCCCCTTTTATTTGTCTTTTGTGGAAGTGCTTTACAGCCAGCCCTGGAAATGGTGTCCTTTTACCCTGCATGTGTGAATACGCGTGTCTGGAAAATGGGCATTGTCTCTCATAGGCATTCCACTTGACCCATGTGCAGGCCAAGTCCCACTGTGTGCCAGGCTTCCTGCCAGGCTTCACAGATACCTGGGTGGGGAAGACAGTCCTGGTTCACAGGGAAGCTAAGGACCTACTGAAACACACAGGAGCCTACAGGTGCCTCATTGCACTTGCCAGATAACTCCTATGGGTGGAAAATTGTGCATGGTGCAGAGGAAATACACAGAAGGACTGGTCAGCTGTGTGGGGCAGGACAGAGGGGGAGGAGGCCAGTAGGGGAGATGAGGGAGGAACCTTTGATGGAGCCTTAAACCCTTTCCCCCAACTTTTCTACCAAGCCCCTCGGGCCCTGGGTACACCACGCTGCGTAGTGACCTGTTGGCTTTGGATTCCCACTATCTTCTTCACAAGGAATTTAAAGGTGGAAAAGATTTAAGACTGGCAATTGTCCAAAGGGGAGTGGAATAAATAACTCCAGAGTTCTGTGATTTTAAAGAGATACTTTTCAATGGCTGTGTAAACCATTTCCCCACCTTTAATTTCAAATATGCTGAATCATTTGGATGGGTGGCCACAAAAGTTTGCTGATAGCCTTGTTTCTAATTTATCTGCTTTTCTGTACTTTTCTTCTACTTTAGAGAAGTACTGTGCTTTTAATTTTTTATTTTAAATATGTCTTTTTGTATTTCAGAGAGAGAAAGGGAGAGGGAAAGAGAGAGAAATAGAAACATCAATGATGAGAGTCATTGATTGGCTGCCTCCTGCAGGCCCCCTGCTGGGGATCTAGCCCACAACCTGGGCATGTGCACTGACCCGGGAATCGAACCATGATCTCCTGGGTCATAGGTCGATGCTCAATTGCTGAGCCACGTCCGGCTGGGCATACTTTTTAATGTAATGTCCTTGGTTGTTGGTAACAAAGCCCATCAAATATATCCGTATTCTGTTGAAAAACAAGTATGTCTAAAACTCTAATACATGCTACTGGAAACATAATCTTTTTCCAACCTTGTTATGATTCTTTCAAAATGGATTATTTTAAAAATTGTGTCTTTGCAGAAGAAAGTATAACATAAAACATTTAATGCATGAAAAACATGTCACTTTACAGTTTTTTTTCAGAATAAGTAAACAAAATGTTTTCTGTTGCTGTGAGTTTGATAGTGGGAGCATTTGTCTTTGAATCCCTGAGTTTCACACATTGTATAAACATGTCTGTCCTGTGGCTAGTGCCCATTCCGCAGCTCTTTTCTGACCCTCTGTGACTTGTGTGACTTTGGTGGCAGGCACGCACCGAGGCTGGGCTGCAGTGCAGATGCGCTTGCTTCACGAGTTGGTCTATGCCTCCCGGAGGATGGGGAACCCTGCCCTGTCCGTCAGGCACCTGTCCTTCCTCCTGCAGACCATGCTGGACTTCTTGTCAGACCAAGGTGAGTGGCTTCAGACTCAGTTTTTTTCAGGTGACTATGAACGAGAACACTCTTGCTGCTGGCCCATGTGTATACTGGGCTCGGGTTCAGAGGTTGATGTCCCAGTTCTCTACTGGGAAGACACCGCGTCCACTGTGTCCACTGTGGCCTCTCGCCTTGGGCCCTTTCTTACCATGGTGCTGCTTGTCTCTCCATCGGCAGCCTCCTGCCTGGCTCCCCTGCCTGCCTGTGTCTGCACCAGACGGCAAACATGCGAGAACCCCAAAGCCCCCTCAGTGCCCCCTTTAGTCACTGCACCCCTAGCTTCTGCCTCAACTTTCTTTTTATATTTTTAAATTAAAAAAAAATTTTTTTTTAATGTCTTGATTGATTTCAGAGAGAGGAAGGGAGAGAGAGTAAGAGAGAGAAACATCAATGATGAGAGAGCCATTGATCGGCTGCCTCTTGCGTGCCCCCTACTGGGGATCAAGCCTGCAACCCAGGCATGGGCCCTGAGTGGGAATCGAACTGCAGTCTCCTGGATCCCAGGTCCAACGCTCAATCACTGAGCCACGCTGGCTGCGCCCGCCTCGACTTTCAAAGGGATCATGGGTATCTTGTCCACATGTAAAGGCTACTTTTTCCCAGGTTCCTCCTCATCTTTTCTTTTCCCACTGCTCCTGGGTGTTACCTGCTTTTGGGGTTTCAGTCATAATCTAGTGTGAGCCCGGGACCCAGATCTCTTTATTTTGATGCTGGCAGGATGCCCACTCCCACTTGCGTGTTCCATGGGCTGTTGAGAATCAATTGGCACATCGGAAACGGGCTCCTCTCCCCCTCCCCCTCCCTCTCTGCTGGTGCTCACACCCCTTCAGTGTGTGCCCTGGGCTGTGTTCTGTGGGACACTCTCCTGATAGGGAGACGAGTGCTTCTGGAATGACTCCTGCGGAAGAGCACAGGGCAGCACTGGGCAGAAGGGAGGCGGGCGCAGTGCAGTGTCCCCAGCTGAGAGCAGTTGTTGGAGAGGGCAGCACTCCTGCCCTGGGGAAATCGGTCTACTACAGTGCTCCTGCCACTCCAGGTGTCCCGGCGGTGACCTTCGACACACCCTCCGCCCTCCTTACCCCACATTCCGGGGCTCACAAGTCTGAGCTCTTCTGACTGTGCATTTTAAAATAAAAATGCATTTCCCTCC